GTTTGCTAGTACGCGTCTAAAGGGGGAGGTGAGAGAGAGAGAGAAGAGCTGCTGTGCGATTATCCCAGCTGTACATGCTCTTCCTGTGCGCCAGAGGCCCAGATTCAGTTTCCTGGGTAGGGAATAGGTGATTCCATAGACATCTGTTCCGGAATTAATATTAAATGCTTCTTCTCCTCTGAAGTATTGTAACTTACCATTTTAATTGCGCTGTAGAACAATCCTCTTCTGTCGTTTGGCATAGTTGCAGCGTTAAAAGGCTTAAATTGTTGCAGAAGTTGCAGAACAAAGAGACTTTTTCTGCACTTCTCCATAACTACAGAATTTATCTGCATTTCTGACAGGTCAATTAAGGTAGATGGTTGAAAGCCAGCAAGAAGAACGGTTTCTTTGCAACATAATGGTTTGGAATTGTCTAAATTCCTGTGGACTGCTATTATTTCTGTACCTATAATGAATCTCCAGTAGGAGAACAAAATGATTAACAGATGGAACGGAAAGGGAAACAGGCAGTTTATCAAAGTCAGTATCTGCATTGCTTGCAGAATGCCTTTTGTTCATATCTTAAAAAGAAAAGACCATTTGGTTTCTGCAAACGTCACTGTGCGAAGTGCACTAGGCCTAGTTAATGCCCTTATTTTTTAGCACTTAGTAGGACTTAAGTACAGTCAGCATGGAGAGAGATGTCTTTACATTGTTAATAGACTTAATTCTGTGAAGATAGATGCTAAATTGAAGGCTCTGTAGACAGATAACAGTGAACAGAAATACAGATTGTAACAGTATGTTTTCTCACGTTCCTGCTAACACACCTTGACCATAGATCACCTGTTCATCCAGGTTTATATGGGAACCACTGCCTATACCATAATCATTTTTCTTGTCATCTTAGTTACATTGTTGATCGCCGCTGTGTATATTCTGGTGCAGGTGTTCTTGACTGTACTGTGCATAAAACAAAGCAAGAAAATGGCCTCTGCCCAATGAAGCAACTCCTAATGTTGGAGGAGTTACCAGTCTAACATTAATATGTAAACAGGAAAAAAAAGAATAGGGAGGTGTTTAAAACAAACAAACAAAAAACCCATCAACAACAAAAAACCAAACTTGTGGTGAATGAGGTAAACAGCAGCGGGTGAAAACATCTGTCTCTTTAGTGACTCAAGAATTATAGGGGTAAGAGAGACAGGGATTAACTTCAGAAGTGTAGATAAATACTTAAATGTAGTGCAGCGGTTGACACAGACTAGAGATATGGTGAGATTAAAGCAATGAGATGGAGAGTTTGGATCTTTTGTAGAAAAGGGGGGCCACCTGGCCAAATACTGGGCAGAAATACTGGGTGTGCACTCTAAGAATGCGAGGAGCTTATGACCGATATCAAATTCACTGCTTTGGGGAGTAATAAGATCTAAGAGAGTACTGGATGCAAAGCTTTGGAGCTTTGGTGCTCTGCCTCCAGGATGTCTTGGCTTTTAGTGATGGGAAGCATGGTAACTGGGATGAGGTATTTGGCATGATCTGTTGACTTTGTATTAACCCGAGACACAGTCTTGAGGGAGTAATACAAAATCAGGTTGATTTTTAGTTGGACAGAAAGATTCAAGGATTGTTATCAGCTGGTGACATTAGTAATCTAAGAAATGTGATGACAGATGGAAAAATACTGCTTTGGATTAGAATGTTCTCTTCAGTCTTGTTTAATTATTTTTTGTTATCTGATTTTATTTTTTTTATAGCGGGCCTCTGCTCTGCTTTGGGCTAATATGTCTGAAACAGTAGTATCATAAGTAAAGCAAAAGTGTTATTAACGAGTTCAGACATAAGCGGTACTCATTAGGTATCACAATATTTCATTCCTTTTGTGGGTTCTTGAGCTTCCTCAGGGCAGCATCAGTCAGAATTAGGTAATGCTAGTGAAAATGAGAAATTAGTTCTGGGTGAAATAAACTGGGAGGTTTTCATGCCTTGCAACTACTCTCCTGTTCCTCTGTTTAAGTGTCCTCCGTTTGTCACTTTGCAGTTTGTGAGGGCTAGTAGTTACTCAGCTTTGCCACTTCGTGGTGCCAGTTAGCCTAGGACCACTCTTTAAGACACTAATTCTTAAAACTCGAACCTGCTTTAAGGCTCTTAAAAGAGCATTGTTCACTTAACAGGTAACTGAAATACTTGTTAATATATAGAAAGTGCTTCAGATGCATCAGTTTTGAGTTTTGAAAGGTTGTAGGAGGCTGTTTTTGACCTCTGTGAGACCAAAAGTTTCCACATTTACACGGGAGAATAGCTCTGGAAATGAAGATACTGTCTACCTTTTGAACGGGTGTTCTGTGGGGACTTGTGAGCTTTGTGTATTAGGAGCATCTTTCATCACTGAGTGGCCGTGCTGTTTGAAAATAAAAGCTTATTAAATTTCAGTGTTATTTTAGTCTCTGATCTTTGCACAGACTGCCACGCTGAAGCTTTGTTTTCAAGTGCCCACTTGTGGTTGGTTGAACTGTTTGCGCATAGGTCTAAGTGAATTTACTTGACTAAGAGTGCATTGAGAGGGCTTTTTAAAGTATTAAGTTTCTAGAATGGAAGGATTAGATTTAAAACCAGAAGCAGTTACAATTTCCATGGAATTCCATGACTTTGAATGCACACTATTCTAAAATCACTTGTGTAGATGCTTTTATGTGATTATTCAAAGACATAGTCTTAGCTTGTAAAGATGTGGGAATTGTAAAGTAAGATAACAGCTTGCAAGTTAATTGTGACAAGGAACCTATTAAAATGAATAAAAGGAATGAAATCCTAAGCATTTAGTTGACTCGCGCATTTTTTTTAATTACACATCATCTACCTCAGTATGTATTTATATACTCTGTGTATTTAGCATTCTAATCTGTATCGCTGGTTAGGCATTTGAGATGGTAAATATTTTCAAGTGTTTTCAATGTTCACATTACAGTCAACTCTATTTTGTAGGTGTCTGGATTGATAGTTTAATTAGGTTATGACTGTTCAGTCTGCTCTTACAATAGTGCTGACTTGACTTGTCAAGGGCATATGCTCAGGAATACAGTTTGGATTCTGAAGATTAACTGTTTCAGTGGCCAAAATGATAAGACCTTAGATCATAAGAAATGAGATAATTTATAATTGCACTTTAAATTTACATCAGTTTAGGTTATTACACTTTCCTAATGCTAACTAGATTTTTATTTTCCTTTCTGGATTGAGAAGGTTTTTGATGAATGTAGCAGCAGAGGAAGAAAACGGTAGGTTGTAAAATAATGGTTCATGGAGCAGGCATAACCTCACATCTAACTGGATAATTTTAATCTTGTTTCCCATAGGGTTTTATGGAAGACCTTGGGTTATGGAGCAGAGGAAAGAACTTTTTAGAAGGCAAGTCATGCTTCCTCTTACTGCAGCACATTCCATCGCGATATGATCATAATCTTCCACTTAAGCCTGAAAAGGATTATTGTTCTAACCGAGAGCAGCTTTTTGCTTAATATTGATATTCTTGGGGGCTCATACTTACTTTTACATCTTGCCTAAACCGAATTTGTCCAATATCAGCTGTGTGTGAGGTTATTGTGACTTGATAGTATAATGCAGTGTTCAGTGAACAAAAAAATAAATTAGATCAAGTAAAAGAATTAGATCAAGTAAAACGTAGAATTCCTGAATTTGAGGACTATTCTCCCAATGACGGCTTTTTTCCTATGTTTATAGACTTCAGAAGTGGGGACTAAATACATACCTGTATGCTCCAAAGGATGACTACAAGCACAGGATGTTCTGGCGAGAAATGTACTCAGTGGAGGAAGCAGGTAATTGCCTTTATTTTTCCTCTGTGTTTTCTATAAATACACTTTTGAATGAATTGGTCATTACTACATATGCTTGAGTGTGTTTAATCACAGTAGCCACTTCCAAAGGTGAGTGGAGACCTGTTCTTAATACCCTGCAGATGTATTTAGTGGAGTTTTGATACAAGCATGGATTTACTTCTTTTAACTACAGATGATTTCTAAAACTGCTTTTAAGGCTTTCTTTTACAAGAATTGCTTTTTTCCAGGGGAAGGTTGCTCAGAATTGTTCCTCTGGCTCTTGAACATTTGGGCCATATTTTGAAGTGGGAATTATTTGCTTCAGAAGAGAAAAAAGATTGAGCGAATAGCATGCCCTTTTATGTGATTCATTAAGTGCCTGTCTCAATGAAAAGAGTATCAGTCAGACAAGCAGCTTCTGACTATTTTGTCAGGACATGAAAGACCTGTTTAAACTGGTGTGAGGTTTTTTTATCCACCTCTGACATTTATGGGATCTACAGTGTTTTATTAGCCTGTGGGGATTATAGTCTTCCTTGGGTGAGGGGAAAAATGATATTTGCTTGAAATTAAATACTCCTCCTTGGATGCCACTTTGAATCACTGCAGAAATACAGTCTAAAGGATACTGCCAGTAACAACAAAGATTATTAAATATTCTAAAAATAATTCTCTTTATACATTTTATGGAAGATTAAATTTGAAGTTTATTTCTTAAAGCAACTACTGCTGCACAGTAATGTTAAAAAAAGCCCTTTTCCGTGTCCTCTGAGCTTCAGTCATATGAATAGTGTGTGAATCAGTGTCATGCAGGTGTCTCTTAGTATGTGTGGAAAAAGTGAGTAATAATTCTAGAACTGTTGATGTGCAATCTGCAAAAACTGACTACATCCACATTTGTCTTGCAACATTGAGATAAAGAGAATTTTAAAATATTTTGAAAATTGTAACATGGAAAATAACAATACAAGGACAATTGTTACATTTCTTTTGGCATAATTCCTCAGAACTCTTACCAATAATTTGGTGCTCTTTGCGGTGTTAGTTTTAAGAAATTACAGCAAATTATTATTTTTTTTACCATAGCAGAGGCACCTGCGTTTTATAATTTACTTATAATGTTGTCTGAGAGATTTATTTTTTTAATTGTTGAATCCTTCTGAAATATTTTAATTTGATTTCCAGAGCAGCTAATGACTCTAATATCAGCTGCACGAGAACATGAAATAGAGTTCATCTATGCAATCTCGCCTGGACTTGACATCACTTTCTCCAATCCTAAAGAGGTATCCACATTGAAACGCAAGCTGGACCAGGTAAGCGTGACATAAACTTACCACAGTTGCAGTGCTACTTAATTTGAAAACTTCAATATCTTGCTCACTCTTGCATCTTTTCACTAGCTTCTTTAATGTTTTCAGCACTAGTGTTAGTTTGGATGCCTCTGAACACTTCCCATTGATGTCCACTTCTGCAATGCAACCTGAACACACTAGTCATCTAGATTTAAAAAAGAAGTCTCATCTTGTATTGCATTCTGAAAGCTGTTCTTGGGAGCTTGTCTTCAGATTATTTTAGAGCCTTGAAGCCAAGATGCATTTCTAAAGGGTGAACTCTTATCTACAATAACACCTTTGAAGGCAGACCTGACATACATGTTGTCTTTGTTCTCATAATTGACTTCTCTTTTTTTTGTCCAAAAGCTATTACAGAGTTAGCTTTTTTCCAGCTGTCTTTCCAGTGTGATCAGCTTTGGATTGTTAAAACTGGAAGAGATTGCAGATCTTTAGAGGTCTAATCTTTGAGAAAAGCAGAGCAGAGGGTCAGAGATAGGCATTTGTTGTGAATAGATACCAAAGTCTGTCTTTCCTCTCCTACCTTCTCTCCCCCATTCCTGTAGCTTTTCCTTTTAAAAATTCTTCAGTTTGATTTGTTTTTTAATTTCTTTTTAAGAAATAAAAATAATAATAAAAAAAATAAACATTTTGCTCTTGTCTCCTGTATTAGGTTTCCCAGTTTGGCTGCAGATCTTTTGCGCTGCTGTTTGATGATATTGATCACAACATGTGTGCAGCAGACAAAGAAGTTTTCAGTTCCTTTGCTCATGCTCAGGTCTCAATCACAAATGAAATTTATCAATATCTAGGAGAACCAGACACATTCCTTTTCTGTCCTACAGGTAAAATGAGATGAATCATTTAGTTCAGCCCTAAAGGAGGGGCCCTGTTATCTTACTGGTTGAAAAGCTGGTTTAATATTTAATAACTGCTTTAAGGAGTATTTTGGGGTTGTTTGAAGAAACTTACTTATAAAGAAAGGTTCAAGTAATTCAAATACATGCAGAGGTTTTCAGAGATGCAGAAATTTGGCAAAGGCTTAATGCCAAGCAAAGAAGGCAGCTTGATAGAAGGGTTCAAGAGGTTTGAACTGAAAGTTCAGTTAAAGGAAGACTTCTGTTTGACTTGCACCAAAATCTTCTTGCTTCTTGATCTGGCTAGCTGTTAGTTTCTTAGAACTTCCTTAAAGTAGAGGTATACCACAGTCTGTGCTCACTTCTGTCATTGGTACGTGTTTTTGACACTTTTACTAGTCACTGAGTTGCTTAATAAAAAATAAGATGACTTGCATTCTGGTCCAATCGTTGCTAATTTTGAATTGCAAGCTTCTTCTAATACCTCTAAGGATACTGTAAGGGAGAGAATCACTATATTCAGTAGTGTGGGTTGTTACAAGGAAAATTCAATTCAGTAGCAATGTTGTCATTGGTAAATTGTTTATCCCCTTACACTGTAGTAATTTGGTTCTGTTGCAGACCTCCTCTTTAGAGACACCTATGTTCTGGTGTTAGTTTTTTTTATGTATTTGCACTTCATAATCAGTCTTAGCGTTTCTAGTTCTTTTGCATATTATCTGCTGTACCCTGCCCTTCTATTTATGGACTTCAAAATTCGGAAAAAAAAAATTATATTTGAGCAATTTAAAAGAAATTCTGTACCTTTCCTTTCTGATCTTTATGCTAAGCATCATTCATAATGTTCTTTCTATTTAAACTTCAGACTTTTGTGTCTTTCTTGATTAATTTTATAGACGATTCTCTTCTCAGGTGGTAGTATGCTGTCAGTGTGTTCATGGGACAGTTGGGTATGTTGTCACATGTGTGTATCCTTATACTAACAATGACATTATCTTTTCCTGTACAGAGTACTGTGGAACTTTCTGTTATCCAAATGTTGCCCAGTCACCATATTTACGGACTGTAGGAGAAAAGCTGCTCCCTGGCATCGAGGTGTTATGGACAGGTAAAAATTGCTTGCCTTGTTTTTTGGCTTTGTGGTTTTTTTAATTTGCTGTTGGTGTTAAAAATTATTTGTCATAAGTATTTAGTAAAATAAACAGATTCCTTGGGGAGTGAATCTTCAAGTATACGCAAAGCCCTCTGATTGTCCTGTTTCCCTCTTAGGTCCAAAAGTTGTATCCAAAGACATTCCCGTAGAGTCCATCGAAGAAGTTTCTAAGATCATCAGGAGAGCACCAGTTATCTGGGATAACATTCATGCTAATGATTATGATCAAAAGAGGCTTTTTCTTGGGCCTTACAAAGGTCGGTCAACTGAGCTCATCCCTCGACTAAAGGGAGTTCTGACCAATCCAAACTGTGAATTTGAAGCCAATTACGTTGCTATTCACACACTTGCAACCTGGTACAAGTCTAACATGAATGGAGTGAGAAAAGACGTGGTAATGAGTAAGTATGCGTAACTGTTTGCTAGGATCTGTGCTTAACCACATAAGTCATACTTTTTTTAACGATTCTAGCCTTTCCGTACCAACTTTTTGTTTCTAAGATAGCCTAGCTTTTTCTATCCCCTAAGTAAATGGCAGTTGCTGTAATGATAATGAGCATCTAGATTGTTTTATTGACTTCCTGGAAAGTATCTGTTCATATGCCATCAGACAATTTCTTAAGTCTTGAGAAGTATCCGTGAGTTCTATAAAAAGCACTCTGAGCAAGCAGTTTGAATGCCCAAATGTGACATAAGTGTCCATGGATTTGATTTCATTGGAATAGAAGCAGTCCAGATCCAAAGGGAAACTCTGGATGCCAGAACGTCTAGTTTCTGTATACTGTTTCTGTGTTGACATTGACGGTGACTGTAGTTTTCCATTTTGTCTAATTAGGATGTAGCGCTTTGTCCTTCTTTGTGAAGTAAAGCTGTTGAATGCCTTGTCTAACATGACTCTTTCTTAATTTTAAATGAAACTTGCATGATAACTTTTTAAAACTTGTCTCCATAGCTGATACTGAAGACAGTACAGTTTCTATCCAGATTAAATTGGAAAATGAGGGGAGCGATGAAGATATTGAAACAGATGTTCTCTACAGCCCACAGATGGCCCTGAAGTTGGCCTTAACGGAATGGTTGCAGGAATTTGGGGTACCTCAGCAATACAGCAGTGAGTTTGATTTGGTGTGATTCTGGTAGAAAAATGGAGTTAAATGCTCAGTACTTGCATTTAGATTAAAATTATTTTGCAGATCCTGGCAATTTTGCATACTTTTCAGTTGGAAGTATTTTCTGCCTTACTAATTGGGGAAATCTTAATAAAGAAGGATGCTTGGCATTCTTCAGCGTGCCTGTAGTGCCCTGACTGATCAGCAGAAGCAACCTTGACGTACGATCCTTTGGCACTTCTGATACAAGACAAGAAAGAGGCTGGATCTTGCTGGTCCCAGTTGTTACTAGACTTCCATGGGACCTGAGAGAGTAGGAAAAATAGTCTTTTTAAGTGAGTGTTAGATTATTGTAAACATTATTTCTGCCCTGGAAGAGTCTGTGTTCTTCCAGTTGTTTTAAGATGGGTTTGGTTTTTTTTTGAGTTTCTATTTACAGAAACAATCTAGGTTCCTTTCAACATCACACACTTTTCTTGTAGCAATAGGAGCTTGGGGTAAAATCTGGTTTTCCAAAATGTGGGTTTGAGGTGGTCAAAGTGCTCTTCTCTGATAACTGGTGGTGGAATGGAAGAACCTCTTCTCCTCCCAACTCTGCTCTGGTGCAGTAATCCTTCTGAACTGCTGTAGGGCTTCAGAGCTTTCTAAAACTCAGCTGCAGCAAAAACACTGGGTGAGGAGTAGTAATTAAGGTGTCATCTTCCTCCATTTTCACAGAATAGTTTATGTTGGAAGGGACCTCTTGAGATCTCCTAGTCTAACCACATTGCTCAAGCAGGGTGAGTTTAGAGCAGGTTGCCCAAGACTCTGTCCAGTCAGGTTTTTAATATCTCCATTTTCCCTAGGTTAAAGACATTTTTACAGTTGAAATATTGCTGCATCAGTCCTTTTATTTTGAAGTGTGCTCTATATCCAAGTAAAACTTTAATAAGTCAGTTGAAGCAGAAGAAAAAAAAGTTAATTTTGGGAGCTTTTTGTTCTGATGGCATAGTCAGAAATGCTGCTGGCAGTACATAAATATGAACTAATTTTACTAACTTTTTCCCCATCCTATCTTTGCTTATCAGTTGTCTGGAGGGGAAATTCACCAAAAGACAAAGTCTATAATTAGAATTACAATGACAAAAGCGAGCAGGCAAAGTACCAAAAGGAAGCTGCACTGATCAGATGCCATGGCAGCAGAATCATCCATGATTTTCAAATTTGCTGATTTGAATATTGGTTTGGCAGACATTGAAAACTCTAAATGTGTTTCTTCTTGTTCTCAGGTAGGCAAGTGGCCCACAGTGGTGCTAAAACTACTGTAGGGGATGTAGGGCCTCTGGTGGCACCATCCTCTTTAAATGCAGCAACTGTGGTTACCACAGTTTACCAAGAACCCATCATGAGTCAGGGGGCAGCACTGAGCACTGAGTCACCAGCCTTGGTAAAGGAGGAAGAGAAGAAGCAATCTGATGAGGAACCAATGGACATGGTGGTGGAAAAACAAGATGACGCGGACAAGAATGCTAATCAGATACTGACGGATATTGCCGAAGTCAAAATGGCAGAGGAGTTGAAGCCGATGGATACTGATAAGGAGAGCATAGCTGAATCAAAGTCCCCAGAGATGTCTATGCAGGAAGACTCCGGTAGTGACATTGCCCCTATGCAGACTGATGAGCAAATTAACAAAGAACAGTTTGTCCCCGGGCCGAATGAAAAGCCTCTCTACACAGTAGAACCAGTGACTTTAGAGGACTTGCAGCTTCTTGCTGACTTGTTTTACCTTCCTTATGAACATGGGCCCAAAGGTGCACAGATGCTGAGAGAATTCCAGTGGCTCAGAGCAAATAGCAGTGTTGTCAGTGTTAATTGCAAAGGAAAGGATGCTGAAAAAGTGAGTGTGAATTTTGTTTCTGTCCTTTTAAATCAAAATCCTGAGCAGTGTTGTCTGTCTGCAATAGAGATTGGTTGTTCCACTTCCTAAAAGCTGAAGGGTAGCGTATAACTAACTGCAGGTCATGGTAACGTTCATTCTACCAGTAGAATCTACTATTTTAAGCCCTGTAGTGCCATGTAGCTGTGAAGGCAGTCTGGTGTCATATTTGACCGCTGGTGTCTGTACTGGCCTCAATTCTAACAGCCATAGAGAATACCCATGAGTCATGTGTGGTGCGGTAGTCCATGCTGGTAAAATGAAGTAATGAATTGTATAGTCTTCCTTCATATTTAGGGTACCTCCCTTCCCTAGAAGGCTGTTTTTGATCTTGTGAATCTTTTGCCTCCGTTCATAGATAGAAGAATGGCGTAACCGAGCAGGCAAGTTTGAAGAGATGTGCAGCTTGGTGATGGGGATGTTCACTCGCCTCTCCAATTGTGCCAACAGGACAATCCTTTATGACATGTACTCCTACGTCTGGGATATCAAGAGTATTATGTCAATGGTGAAATCTTTTGTGCAGTGGTTAGGTAGGTGCATTGGGAGCCACTATAATCCCAGATAGTGTATTTTTTTTTGTTTTTAATTAGCCCACGGGGAAAACAAAGTATTTGGCAAATGTGTTTTCTTGGACATGGGTCTGGTTTGACCCTGTTTTAGAGGTTTTCCTGTCTCACTACTTGAAGCAATGCTTGCTTTGAATTTGCTTTGGTATTATAAGTGAAGTCTGCTGGATGCTTAAGGTTGGAGACCTTGATTTTCTTCTTGGGCTAATGAAACTTGAATCTCAGCTGACACGTAAGTGTTGACTTTAACTTACTCTTGACTGAATGCACACTGGACTATTGTGATGTAACTCCTTGGGTACCCTGGTGTATGATTGGAAATGACACTACGAAGTGTGACCACATCAGCCATCTGCTGCTTGCTCTGTCTTAATAACATTATGCTGTCTTCAACAGAACAATTGCAGAAGTCACCTTTCAATGGGCCTGGCCAAGAGGAAGCCAATCCTCCCAGCCCTGTGCGCATGCGAGCTTTAGTGTAAGGCTATTCTGGTGCAAAATAATTTCCTTTAAGCTTTCCAAATTGTTGATTTTTTTTTTTTAATTTTATTTTATTTTTTGGTCATGAGTGGAAATTTGTGGAGTTCTCTAGACAGATTTAGTCTGAGACTTAAACTGATCTTGAAACAGGTTTTTTCTTTTTTTTAATGTGTGACTTTTTTCTTTTTCCTGAAAGATTTTTGGGGGATCCTAAGTTGTCAGCACCAGCATGGCCTGGGTGATTCTAGTGACCTCATTTCACTTTCAGGTTTCAATGCAACTGTAAGGAATATGCTGTGGACTTGCTTGACATACACAGCAGACAGCAAAGCTGATGGTCTCACGTCACACTTTTTGTAGCTGTCACAAACCTCACAGTGGTTAACCATTACACAACCTTGATCTAGTCCTAGTGTTTGGATTGTCTTTAAATGATACTCTTAAATACTGGCAGGTTTAAGCAGGGACAGAGAAGACCTGTTAAGTCATCAAGTCAGTCCGTGCTCAAGAACTTCCTGTTTTTTGTGCTTATTAAATATCTGATCCCTATACGTATGGCTGATAAAGAAGAGCTTTTAAGACTGTCTTCTGCAAAGTACAGAGAAGAAAACTAGCTTGGGAAGAAAACTTGGCAGCATTGTAGTATGTTAACATCTCTGTCTAATGCTGTTTAAAAGCTTTAGTTTGTGCATTTTTAAGACCAGTGTGACCCAACTTCCCCCAGCTTTACTATTCTTGGTGTGTGTTGACCTTTAGCTAGAAAGAATGCTCTCTTTTTGATAATCTGTTTAAAACTCCAGGCCAAACCTCTATAAAGAGAACAGTGATTCTTGCAATCTCTAAACGTTGAGGGCTCAAGTTAAGACTGCATTTTGGAGTTATCAAACTACCTACGGATTTCAGCTGAAATTGTCTTCAGTTTTCAATGTCCCTGTAAAGCTGGGTTCAAGTCTTTAAATGCATTAGATATTTGGAAAAGGTCACATTAGAAGCCAACTCTGTAAATACCAGCTCTGTTAACTTTGGCACTGTTCTGTTCCAGTACTCAAACTGGTATTAGATAGTTGAAAAATTAAAGAGTTTTTGACAGCTTAAGAGTATTAAACTAACAGTGCTTCTGTGAGAGGGGATGCTTTTGTATTCAGCTTGTGTTTTATCACTAGTGTAAACACATACAGAGCAAAGGTCTTTGAAATACGTCATTATATAAAGCTAAGTACATTACAAATCCAAACAACTTAGTTTTCACAACGGTGTGCTCAATGGTCCACTGAATGTTCTCTTTTTTTTCACATCTCCTCCCAAGTCCAGCTAGCATTCAGTCCCTTAAATTAGTGTGGCTGTACAGTACTATGGATTACTAATGACTTCTATTGTCTTCTTCCCCATTGTGTACAGATGGGAGAATCCTCAGCACAAGTTTCTACTGCTATTGGATGGACAGCGCCAGATGTTCACAGCGCGTCGTCATTAATTAATTAAAATGGAAAGGTTTTGTCTGTGAGGAAGCTCAGATAGATTAGATGTGCAATAGGCATGAACTGAAGTCACATTTGCGCAGCGACTAAGACATTAACTATGTTTTTCATTTATACAGCTCTTCATTCACGCAGCTCTTTACTGTAATAATTGGAAGTGCTAGTTAAGTTGTAGTCTCAAAGGACAGACAGATACTGTCTCCCAAGTCCTTGACTAAACCTCCTCTTGAAGGTGTCTTTTTATGTGAGAATTCTAAAATGTGGGAGTAAACCAAATTCAAATTCTGATGCTTGGATTGTTTCTGAAATTTACCATACTTAGGGTAGTTTGTATTTAACATATATTCCTAAGCTCTTGTAAATGTCAAACTTGGCACACTTTGGGACTCTCTGACTAGCACAACATACTTCTCTGTACTGATCTGAGACTGTTACTTGAACAGGAGGTAGATTGCTGTCCACAAAAGGAAAAGAGTATTTGCGCTGCTCATCTTGTCAGAAAACGAGGCGGGTAATGGAAATCTCCACTTCAGATACAATGCTTTTTTATTTTTTTTTTTTGACTCTCCAGAGTTGTCATTTATGTTAGTTGTTGAAGGCTGTGGTGCTTTGCTGGCAGAACAGTATTAAAAGTCAAACAGCCAATGGAATTTTCTTTTCTAAAGCAGGTGTAAATTAAAGGTGAGCACTTCAGTGGGCCTGCTGTGGCTAGTTGATCAGCAGGGACCCTCGTGCATCTGGTGTGCTTGAGGAGGAAAAAAATAAAGATGCTAAAAAACAAAGCTAGTAGTGTCTGTGGCACACAGGATGTACTAGTTAAATTGTGTTAAGTGGAATTAACTCACTACTTAGCTTTTTAATGTGCCAGCAGTGTTGTGAAGGTATGGCCTGGATTATGTAAATCGGCATAGTCTCTTGCAAGAATACTGTTTCATACAACTGTCCTGGCTGCCTAGACTGTTTTTATATATTGCCAGTCCTAGTTTTCTGACAAGATTAGAAACAATCATTACTAAAATGTGACTTCAGAAAGGTCCATTTTTTTTCAAGGGGCTGTGATAATTACATTTGTTTGATTTAAAATTTACAATAGTAGCTATTGAGCCACATAGCTTCCAAGATGTCATCTTTTCATAGATGAAATGGATGTTTCTGCCATGAATATTAAAAAAAAAAAAAAAAAAAAGACTGGGAAGCTTACATAATTGTGCATGGCAGCATTCTTGTGCCTTCTGGTCTGGAATGAGGTGTGTTAGCTGAATCACCTCACCTATTTTTAGACTAGCCTGTTACAGGTAATCAAAAATTTGGAGTACTGCAATTAGTGCACAAGCACAAAATCTTTATAAATCATACATTATTACAGCCTCCCCCCAAGCCCTGGATTCTAGCTCAGTTAGAGAGCTTTTTCCACAAGTGTGTGTTAGCTTTTTGGACATGTTAGACACCCAGGAAATCCCCCTTCTCGTAACATTCTCCGCTTGGATCTGATCTCAACAGGGTGTCGTAGTCAATCTTCAGCACAGTTCTTAAGTGGAGACCAAGAACCCTGGGCCTTTAGAGGTGGTCTAGCAGGAGAGTTCCAGGTATCAATATGACTTCACAACTGAATGACATTTTCTTTGTTTTATGAGAAACCTTTTGTTGCACATCAGAGGTCTGGAAGGATTGGTCTGCCGAAGGCTTTCTGGTCCAAAGCCCATTAGCCTTACAGCTTGGTTTAAAATAATTTTCCTCCCCTTTCTACAGTAATTTCTCAAGGAGATGCTGCCTGTCCCACGCGCATGCGAAGCGCAGCGGCTTTAGTTGTACATTTCACATTGTTTCTTTGCAGGTCGCACAGCATTTTTATCTGCGCCCGCAATTGCACAATGCGCGCATGCTTGTCTGCCGATGGGAATTCCATGAGCAAAAGGCATAGTCATCCAAATTTTGGTTCCTCTCTAAATAAGGCTGTAATGTGCTTTGTTGCAAAAATTTCAATTGGCAAATATTCTTAAATCGCTCTTTATACCATGTTCAAATTTGTTCATGGATTTTTCAGGCGCTATACTTTTCCCCCCTCACAGGTGCTCTGCGCGCAGCAAATTGAATCAGCGCATTGCTTTTGGGATAAAGTGTCTCCTCTGGCCAGTTAACCCTCTTCAGACCAAACCTTTCCTCCTGACATTCTATGTTCTTATACAGAGACAGTGTAGATATGATTGGTAAAAAGTATTTTAAAGCAGATAAGATTAACAGACTCTTAATGTGCTGTTTCAATTGCATATTTTAAAACACCAATTGGATATTTTCCATTCAAATAAGGTCTTTGCATTTGTAAAGCATACCAACCCCACCTTCTTCTGGGGTGCCTGCAAGTAGCAAATGTTAATTTGGGAGTCTGCAGTGCACACCCAAGAGCAATGGGTTTTGTTGTTCATAGAGTCATATTAAGTATTTTGTTTTCACAGCGTTTGCTGCCTATTGATGGAGCAAATGACCTCTTTTTTCAACCACCTCCATTAACACCCACTTCCAAAGTGTACACCATACGACCCTACTTTCCTAAAGACGAGGTAACTGGTTTTGACACTTGTCACCATTGTTGTTAGTAATGCGTTTCCTTTTGTGGCAACACTGGTTACTGCCGAGTCCCTTCATCCCCAAATGAAACAGATGGCCCAGTATCTTGCACAAGGCACAAATGCAAGCTTACGGGAAAACTGTTAAGTGACTTGCCAGTGGTTCACCAACATGCTGTGCAACAGGACGTGTACACCCACATCTTGATTCCCAGTCTCCCACCCCACCACCTTTTTAAATCGATGAGGACCTTCCCCGTTTCTGAAGGGCAAGTTAAAGCTGTTTGTGGGTGGTAGAGGAATTATTGCAGTGGGGACACATGCAATTGGATAACTTTAGGGGTGGGTGTGTATACCTGTTCACTCAGTAATTATTGTGGTAATTGCTGGTATTCTCAGAGCTATATAGGCAGAAAGTTGATTTTTGCGTCTCAAAATGCAGCTGCAAAATGTGGTGGTACTTGAGCCATTCTTAGCATTTCAGGTACAGCTGTACACACTTGGTCTGATTGTGAAAGAACTGTTGTGAAATTTGCTTTAGAGTGTTTGATACTTTGAAACCAGGAATTTTGTATTGTTACTGATTAGAGTTTTTTTCCCCATTTTTTTCTGCTGAACAGATATGTAGTGTGGTTTCATTCCTGTTAGCTTAGCAAGAAGAATACTTGAAACTGATGTATCAACCAACAGTTAGTTAACGCTTGTTATGCATGCAGTTTAAACAATGCAAGGATTAATGTAGCTTGAGCTTTTGTATTTGTAGCTACTGTTTCCTTTGAAACATAAGTATCTAGGTTGAGTTTGCAGCAGCTCAAATGAATCCTGACTTTGAAGCCAATCAGACAGAGCTAGCACATGAAGAAATGTCCTTTACTGGCTACTTTTAGGCTAGCTCTGTCCAGTGCTGTTTTCATGAGCAGTAAATCAGCCTTTTACATACCTTAGTGCAGGATTGTACCTAAGCTGTTTTTTTTTCTTTGTAGGCAATGGAATTGGTATTTCTAAGCCACCTAAGCAATTAGTGATGCAGCTAAACATGCAGTCATAAAGAATGTTTTTTGTGAGAAGTTCGCTCTTTATGGAAGGAGGCCAGAGGCATGTCAAATGGAAAGCCTTGTTGTTGAAAACTCTAAAGGTTCTTATTTAAAGTCTGACTGATAGAAGTTTACTCTTTTTTTAAAGAGAGTCAGCTGAAAGCATTTTAACATGTGGAAAGTCAGGGTGTGTCTGTCCTTCATAGTGGTTAAATTGTTGCTTTTGAACATTGGCAGTTTCGAAAAAGGAATTGTAGCAAGGGTAGTGATCTTCACTGAGAGCTTGGTGGCTGAATCTCAGGATTAACCTTGTTCTGTTTCAATGTGCAGGAGGTTGATCTCCAGCCTTTCCATCCCAGCCTTTCAACTTCACAATGTTTTTTATGGGCAACTTTAAGAGTTGCTTTTGGAGAGGCAGGGGGAGGATAGATCCGTTCTCGTAAATGGGTGCTCTTCCTCTGTGTAACTTAAATGCCTGTCAGTACTAGTATACAGTGGGGCTGTTAATGAAATCTCTCTAAAACAAAGTAGTTAGCTTTTGAAAGTGACTGATGACTTGAAATCATCTCTTCTCTCCTCTTAGGCATCTGTATATAAGATCTGCAGAGAAATGTATGCTGATGGAGCTGATCAACCCTTCCATAGCTTACCAGATTTAATTGGAGACAAGTATGTATTGGGAATGAATGGCCTACAGAGGTGGTTCTGAAGGGTTAAGTCCTGACGCTGTATTTAATTTGAATTTTTAAAAGTGTATGTGGGAAGAATGCAAAGAGTGTTTGATTTAAAACAAAATTTTAAAAAATCTGCCCTCTGCAGGCCTCAGGAAATTGGGGTTTTCTTTTTTTTAAAGATACCATTGACAGTTATGTCTCAGTTTATGCGCTGATCACCTGTTGTGAGTTGTTAGAAAAAAGACTTAGCTGAAACCTCTGTATTATGAAACCGGTGCAACATACTATCCTATTATTTCAGATTCTGTGAAAGTATATCATGACAGTGTCCATAGTCTGTACCCACTTTCCAACTCTTTTTCCAACCTAGTGTAGTTCTTCAGATAACTAAAATTTTTTTGAGGACCAATCTCCCAGCCAACTGCCTTGAGTTTTTTGTGAAATACATGTTATAGATTACCTGTACCAGCTTCAAAAAAGAATAAGCAATGGCAATTGAGATGAAATTTTAAAAAGGCGTTAAATATGAGCTGTAAAATGAGCTACTTCGAGTATTTTTTTGTCTCAATTATTTAACTGAGATAGAACTTTGTAAAGAGGCTGCTCTGTGAGTGACAGGAAGGAAGTTAAGAAAGGATGTGTAACTGGTATCAAAAAGTACCCAAAAGAAAAGATGGAAGAACAAGGAGGTAATGGCAGCAGAGAAACTGAGGGCAAAAGGTGAAGGAAGTTTGTGTCTCTGAGTCAGAAGAGCAGTGTGTATGGAATTAAATTGTGGGATCCTGAGGTGCAGATGTTGCTCAAAGCTGAGTTTTGACAGCTGATCAGTCTGTTAATTAATGCTTTGTAGGAACTAATTCCATGACTGGAAGACTGTCGCTTCGTTGGTTGTCCCTAGAGTCTCCTCCAGAGTATGTGAAGAGCATGCTTGTTCAAAGTGACTTTCTTTTGACTGAATTTGGACACTTCTTTCTGCAGGTTAGTAGGAGGTCTGCTCACCCTCAGCCTGGATTACTGCTTCGTCTTAGAAGATGAGGATGGTATATGTGGCTATGCTTTGGGAACGGTTGATGTGACTCCTTTCATTAAAAAATGTAAAATGTCTTGGATCCCTTTCATGCAAGAAAAATACACTAAACCAAATAGTGACAAGGAACTGTCTGAGGCAGAGGTTGGTATAACCCATGAGATCAGAACTGTATGCCTAACTCTTTTCTTTCCAAAGCAGTCTTTGTTTTCCTTTTGCATTTTGAGCTTCCATGTAATTAAATTTTTGTACTTTTCTGAAGTCTTTGAGCACAATATCTGACATCTTAGAAGGTGACAGTAGAATTATTCACTGACAGTCAGATACAGCTGTGTGTTCTAACATACCCATGAGGTGTGCTTTAGTAGTAATCAATGCAGTAAACGTAAGCCACCTTGATCTAAAGAAAATGACATTTTGAAAATAAAGGATTGCTTCTGCTCTGTTCTGCAAAATGACATATTAGTTTCCCCATGCTGATAGTAATGTCAGTTTAAGTATGGAAAACAAATTAAAGAGCACTTGGTTTTGATGTTAAAATCTATGAGCTATTTGTGGAGTTTGACAGCTGTAAATGGTGTAAACCAACATCTCACCTTTAGCAAGTGCTAAAAATCAACATCTTGAATTGGTTTTGGAAGAAACTAGAAAAACAATGTCACTGAACTGTCAGAAATAGTGAAAAGTTCTAGCTGATTCTTGTCAAGGAAAGAAATGTGTTTAATACTAAGAGGTGCCAGTCCCCACCTGGTAAGGGCAGGGCAAAAATGGTGTATATGGCAGTGTGCCCTTGCTTTATTTGACTAGGACTTTGACAAATCTTAAAAGAGGTCATGGCTCTGAGAGCACAGGCTTTCCCACAAGCAAAGCAAAGCTTCCTGGAAATGGAATTAAATGCTTGTCACCCTGCTGGGAAGATGGCCACTACTTATAGGCATGTTTGGGGGAAAAGTGAAATACTTTAAAAAAAAAAAAAAAAAAAAAGCCTTGCAGCAAATAGAATACCTGGGTTCTAGGGTAAGCATGACTAGAAGGTATCTTAATAGCTCCACTACCACTATTGAAGTGGAGCTAATTCTGCAGTCTAAGTTTTATGACTTGATTCTTGTACATTTGCACAGTCCTGTGCTTTCAACTGTGTATGTAAATTCAGATTTTGAAGCAAAGCCGGTGCATATAAGGATATCGGAAATTAAACATGGCAAAGCTGTAGTAAGTACAGTAAGGGAGAAGGGGCCTTGATTTCCAGAAGTTTAAAGCCGAATTTCAGAGAGAAAGCAGGAGGTATTTTGTGCTGATAAACTAGCTTTTCCATTGAGATGTTTAAGAACATTTTTTGCTATTGGTACATTGCCCCAGGATTTCTGCTGCTTGTACAATATCTCAGAAAAAGTCTGTTTCTTGAGCCTATGGGCTTGAGGGATGTTTCTGGGAGTACAGCAGAGCTCTTTGCTCTTGAGATACATGCTGTGGGTTTTAATCCATTTAGCCTTTTGACACTATAACAGAGAATATTCAGTAGTTGCTTAGAAGCTATTGTCACTGAAGATCATGTAGCAAAAAGTTTTCTCACAGAATAGGATTGATTTGGTTTCCTTTACAGAATTCTTACCTCTTGATAATCTCAGTCTCCATTTTGGTTTGAAGAGCTTCCTTTCTGTACTATTTAGGTCATTTGATTCAAATTGCTGACTTCTAGCACAGTTCAGTTATTCTGTAGTTAAAAATACATCTTGAGCCCCAGACTTTATGGGATAAACAAAATGTGTTGTTTCACAAAAGAAAAATCCAATCCTCTGACTTGTGACATTGTCTTGCAGTTTTGGCTAGGTTCCTCTCAGGGAAGTTTATCTGGTATCTGCTTTTCCTGAGGTTAGTTATTATTGATCGCAAGAGGTGAATGCATCATCTGTCCAACTGCTTCTTAGCCCCACCTGTACCCTACTCCTTGTAGCACTTCTATGGTTGGAAGAAACAGGTATCACCTTTGCCTTGATGCTTGAAGCCAGCACGGCTAGCTTTGAATGCTTTCTATGGGATTGTACCTGTTGCAGCTGTGATAAAGGAAAGACCAGAGGAGCAGGCATGGTTCTGAACCTGAAGTAGCTCAACAAATTTGAAGTAGTAACTTTGAACAGAGACTCTCCCTGCAAGAGTTTGAGAGATGGCAGTTTGTAGGTTTGAGGAGATTGCATTTAAACTTGACCTGAAAAAAAGGTGGGGCTTGCTAATGTTACGGTTCCTTGTGTGATGAAGTCCTAGTTTGGGTTGTTATGATAGTGGCTTTCAATTATACAAGAAATGAAGCTAGGTGGCTTGTTTACTTGAGCCAGTGCTCCCTAAAGGTTTTAAAACTCAGTAACCAGCAGGGCAAATGACTTGAGTGTGTTTCAGATTTGGCTTTGTCTACTGCTGTATTACCTCACGTGATTGTTCCATCCCCATGAGTTGCATGAAGTTAATGTCTGATGTCATGTTCCTGAAGACCTTCCTGGGTGATTGCAATAGTCTTTAGTGATCAACAACATCCTTTAGTCATCAACAAGTATTATTTCAAGCTAGAGACAAATTTGCCTGTGTTGGGGCAAGTAGTCCTAGATAATTGCGTAAACATGAGAGATGTTTCCAGGCTGCTGTGAACCAAAGAATACATGTGGAAGGTTGGGACACTTTGAGCTAAAACTGCCCATGTAAAATGCAAAGAAAAGGAATACCCATGCCCAAACTGTTAGTTATGGGTTGGCTTATGTTTTTTTCTCACTTAAACTCTGGGTCACTGAGAAGCCATGCAAGGAGTCTTGCACTCCTCCTTTGACAAACTGAGAAGCTTCAGTAGGCTGCCTTTTTGTCTGGAGTACAGAGAGCAATTCAGCAGGTAAGGAATGAAGTGACCATCAGAGGTGTGGCTGAAAAGCGTGCTGATTTGTAGGTATATTCCACGAGCAAAGCAGCCTCCCTTAATAAATATGAATGAAAATGAAAAGCTGGATAGCGATTAAATGTCTGCTTCCCATATTCTTTTCAGAAAATAATGCTAAGCTTCCATGAAGAGCAAGAAGTATTGCCAGAATCATTTCTTGCCAACTTCCCATCGTTGATAAAGATTGATATCCACAAAAAAGTTACAGATCCAAGCGTGGCCAAAAGTATGATGGCCTGCCTGCTCTCTTCTCTAAAGGCTAATGGTAAGCTTCTTGCACTCAGAATTCCTTGTTTCCTAATTATGTGTTGGTTCTAGGATGCAAAGAGAGCTTGGGATGGTTATAGTAGCATTGCTGTATTTGCACATCATCCTGAGATACTCGATTCCTGCCATAGTTGGCACTCTAGATTTAAGTAAATAATTACAAAAGCTTTCAGATAGCTAACTTCTGCTGCTGTCTTCAGTAAAACATAGCATTTCACTTTAGCTATTATCCTGCAAATTAGAAAATAGGAAGAACTGAGGGAGTGATTTGGCCATGAGAGCACACATTTTTACATCTTGAACGGTGCACAAATGTTTATATTTCCCCTGCTGGCATTGGTAATGTTGCTTTTTCTTACATGTCGCAGTGTGCACTGGTGGATAATTACCAAAACCTTCAATATGGGGAAGTACTTGGCTGTCTGCCTTACTGCGCACCTGAGGTTCACAGTTCCTTTGTGTGATTTGGTGCCTGCTTCTAGTTCTATTTTCTGAGCCAACATCAGAGTTTCAGGATGCTTTTATGTGAAATAAAAGGTGTGCAGAGGGGAGGTCGTTTGCTCAGGCTGACAAGACATCTGCACTGTGCAGCCCTTTTAGGGGATGGTCAGCTATGTTGCTATAAATCTGCTCTCTTTTGGGCACTATGCTCCATGTGGACTTGGATCGGTGGTTTCATTGGGTTTAAACGTTAAAGTAGGTGGGAACTCTAGTAATATTTGATGTCTGTGCTTTTTACAATAACTTTTCCTACAGCGTTTTGTTTCTCTTTTCCCTTCTCAGGCTCCCGTGGGGCTTTTTGTGAAGTGAGACCAGATGATAAAAGAATCCTGGAATTTTACAGCAAGCTGGGTTGTTTTGAAATTGCCAAAATGGAAGGATTTCCAAAGGATGTTGTTATCCTTGGAAGAAGCCTGTGAAGTGCTTGACAGCGAACTGTTCCAGTACTGTAGTCCCTTAACAGCTGGGCAGGTAGTGGTGGGGATCTTCATATGGTCTAGCTGCACAAAGCCAGCAATAAGCCAGCTTGGTAGAAGGGGCTATGCGAAAATCACCCATCACATGTTCAGACTGTAATTTGTTGGAAGAGGTTAATGCTGCTGAAAACACTGTTTTAACAAAGAGAAACCTTGTCCTCTCCTGGTCCTGTGTGAAGTGCCAAGGAATATTGCATGGGCTATAGCTTCTCGGAGGAATCCCTCTCAGTCGGTGCTGTGGTTGACAGCAGTTCTCTGCATGCACATGTCAACAGCAAAGCAGTCTCTGTCAGAAGTACCTGTAAAGATGCAGAGGTTTTCCTCTGTCATAGAGCAGGATGTGCAACTGCAGGTTGCAGAAATGGGAGGGATTGCTTGTGTCAATCAGCAAATTTAAAGATAAGTAGCTACAGTTCTATTTTTGACTATCTTTATGCTTGTTGATAAAGCAATGACCTGTTGTCACTTCTGATGACCATTGGTTCAAGCTTCGTGCTTTGTTAGGGACAAATGTGCAGTGGTCTGTGGCAGAAGTCACTTGATGACAAACTTGTAAATTTCAGTGTATATAAACGTAGCGGTATGCTGACTAACTTTTTGTTTACCAGTTTTTGTAACTTTTTCTTTTGAAAAGTGAAATGGTATAGGTCCAAGATGGCACTTTTGAATAACCTGAAACCACAATGGAGAACAAATCTGCGCTGACCTTTCTTATTGTGCCTCATATCCAGGGCTAGAAACTGACCATCTTGGGTAAGGGGTGCGGATCCCAAACCATCCTTCAGACGGCAGTTTGTCACTGCTTGAGGTTGTCATCATTCTCCTGGGACTGAAACAGCAATTCACAGGGTGGTCTGCCGAACCCGTTAATTTTGGTAGCGTTTGCACAGGATTGTGGATGAAAGATGGTGAGAGGGAGAGAGCTGGCCCACAGCTGGGATTTGTCCTTGGAACAGTGACCATGTTTCAAAGCCTGTTCGTACTAGTTTGATTAAATCAGGGTCTTCAAGTCCTGCACATTTGTATCAAATAACTTTTCTATGAGAAATGCCACAATAAGCACATTTTTACACATTATTTAAATGGTTACCTACTTTTAAATGTTCCAAGAGTTTAATGTTTTTACCCAGGTCTGATATGTTTGGTTATGGGATGGAATCAGCATGGTGTGGGATCTGGTAGTGAGGTATTTTGCATCATTTATGAAATTGGTATTTCACAGAAGTCCCAGGTACCTAATCGGCCAATGGTATACACCTTGCAGTACCTTGCTTCTTTCACCTGCTGCCATCAGCTGTCTTTATCTTCCTTTTTAATTTTCCTGGGTTTTTTTCAGTGGTGTGCAAAGGAAGTTTGGTTCCTTTTACAAGCCTCCGGCTACATAGAAGAAGTTAGGCAACCTGTGACGAGCGGCATTAAGACTGCAGTAATGTTGTCTGCCACCTGTAAGGAGATGCTGTGCTTGGCCTTCTGGTTCAGTCACATGCAGGATGGGTTTTGTTTTTGTGTTTTGTTTTGTTTTTTTTCCTTTGCAGAATGTGAACAATTTTTTTAATGTGGTAGCAAAGTATTTAAGTTGAAACAAGTTCATTTCATTTTTAGGGAGAGGTACGGGGTTGTGCTATGGGATTTCATGTAAGTCAGAGCTGAATGCCACTAATTTTTATACAGCTTTGAGTGCATGTTGAGTAGCTGATACCTTGGTTTATCAGGTGGGAAAGTTTTGTTTCTTCACAGATACCAGAGTCAACTTATTTTATCGGGATGCATAACATACAGCATAGGATGCTTGTGGCCTTATTTCTTGGCTTTTAAGGAGTTGCCACATTTTCTCTTCCTATGACTTTGTTACTATTATAAAAATTAATTGTATAAGCCTATGGAATGTCAGGCCAATACCATCATTCTAGGATTGTAAAGTGATATGTTGACATATCTTTCATGGCTATGAATTTTCATTAAGGTTGGAATGCCACTTTCATTAATCTGTTTTTAGATCAACAGTATCTGTAGCAGAAAAAAAGACCTGTAAAACTGTATTTGAAGACCATGCGAGAAATAGAATAAAAATTGAGAAGTGAATATAAACTAGAAATGTGTATTTTCTGTATGAGGTTCCAGAGCTGTAAGTGGTTCAGCACAGTATGTTACATCACGCTGTAGATGTTGGATGCTCTCAGGATTGATGAGCTGGCAGAGGAACTTGTCTCTGGTTTTGGTGGTGGCAGTGTGTTGCGTGATAGACGCTTATCTACACCAATGCTTTTCACAGGCGAGTATTTGGCACCCCTTCGGAAGTACTCACCCCAAAGATTTTTTTGGGGTGGCAGTGACTTTTGTTGTTGGTCCTTCTGTGAGTGGCACCAGCTGAACTTTGCCTGTCTTCTAAAAACCAGTTCTTTCAAAGGTGGTCGCCAGTGTCTGGCAAAGCCAGCACGAGCTGCCTTGCAGTAGTGCTTGTTTGCCCTTTCTTGTTTTTCCTTGCTCGGTGCAGGGGTTGCTGAGACCCCAACTAGCCTGCCAGCAGAAACGAGGCGAGATGCGAACTAACTTGAGGAATGTCACACTGTGGAAGGGGAAACATTGTAGCTCCACAGCCTGGCCTTAGTTATACATCCATAAAATTTGATTTGCGAAGCTAAACACGCCGGGGTAGCTAAAGCAAGTAGCTCCCTGCTTAGAATGGCAGCCAAGCAAAAGGGGTGGGTCAGGGGCGTTAAAAGCAGCTTTTTCCCTAAGGTCAATTCTTCCACCTGCTGTACAAGTGTGCTGGTTATGGAGCGCAAAAGGTATCTATCGTGGAGAGCATGGTAACACGCAGACTAAGTAGGGAGATTAGCAGTTGAACGGTAAACATCTATGTTAAAACTAGTTTTTCTCCACAAAATCATCATGTGTTGCATGTAGTTGTCTTTTGTTTTCTTGAAGCTTGTTTCATGAAATTGTCCTTTCTGCCATAATCTGACTTGACTGTGGTGAACACATCTTGGCCTGAGAGAGGGGTTTGGACTCTGATGTTGCACCAGGAACGTTTCCTTTAAGGAGTGTGAAGCAGAAGTGGGTCTGCAGGCAGTCCCACGGGTAATGCGCTGCAGAGAGCAGCTACTGCAGCAGCAAACGGGCGCACTTGTATAACCATCGCTGAGCAACCGCCTGGCTTTTTCTGGGACCAGGATGGTCTTTTCAAACCTCTTCAGTCATGTTTTTCTTGAACTGACTCCAGCTGGAGCAGAGCAAATGGCCAGCTGGTGGAGGTCTCCTCTGCAGTGGGAGCAGAGCCAGCTTCTGACCGAGAACGTGGTGTGAGCTCAGCATTAGTGTGGTTTGTTTTAATTCAGTTGCTCCCCCATCCACCCCTGCAGCACGGACCAGGCTGCTGCCCTTTCTGCTTTGAAAGGCCAGTCTGGTCCTCTGCTCCCCACAATAAGATTTTTGAGGTGGGATCTTGCCTTCTGTGCTCAAAGACTCCTGCACTGCAGTCCCCGGTGGCAGGTCATGTTACTCTCGCCCATGTTTAAAGGGATAGAGATATAGTTGTGCCCCTGCCCCCCTCCCTGTTACCCTCCTGCCCCTCCCATACACCTCGGCCTTTTGCCTCTGCCCTGTGTCTGCTCCTCGGGGCTGGGGCAGGCTGCTGCGTGAGGAGGGCAGTGGGTGGGCAGCCATAGTGAGGGCCGTTTTTCTGGTGCGGCCTTGTTCCTATAGCTGGCAGTGTGGTCACTGGTGCACTGTCCTGCTGGCCTGGCTTTGGCTGGAGGCCCAAGAGGGGCAGGAGCCCCCCCAGTCACAGGATGCGGTCATGTCTGTCCTCTCCAGTGTGGTTTTTGGGCTGTTCACCACCCTCACAGTTTAAGACCCCCACACCCCCAGAAAAATCCTGAGGGCAGAGGCTGGTTACCAGGACAAGTCATTAGGATCCCGCTGGCGTAATAACCCTTCCGCTTTTATTGCGAGGAAGTAAAATACTATAAACAACGGCCTTTCACCTTCCCGGCGAGCCCTTCCACAAAGGAC